CAGACACCAACAACACAAAGTTTAATTGAAACCATATTATTCATTTTACAAAGAAACCAAATCTGAGCTGAGTTGTTGGCATGTGTCTTAATAATGCTTGTTAGACTCAGTTCTCTACTGATTTAAAACAGTCTTATATACAGAGGAAATTAAGTAGGTATCTCAAGTTTGTAATTTTAGAACAAGGACGCTGCAGATCTCGCAGGCGCAGGAGGTGATATACCGGTACGAGTACTCTCATACATTTCCTCCTGAGCAGAAAAGGGGAATGGTTCAGAAGCCACCAGATTTTCTCTACTGCAAAGGCATGTATTCTCCACTTCTTCTGTAGTGTAGTTATACCTGGGGAGGAAAAAAAAGAGGGGAAAATAATGAGCAGTGGGTTGGTAATACATGGACATTTAAATACAAAATCCACTATCAAGATGCAAAAATAACCCATTAAGTTATCATTTACAGTTATATTTCACAATATGTTACTATATGGAAAAATCTCAAACATTTGAAAGGCTCAGCATTAAAAAGAACAAGGAGAATATGTAATGTACGGTTGGAAAGTCACAGGATCATTGTCCAGTTAATGATACAAACAGAACAACACCACTGGAGGTGTGGAGCCACATCTTGGCCCAGGCATTGATCCCTTCATTCTGGTGGCACAAAGAGGCTGGAAGAATTTTGCAATAAATATATTTGAATAAAACATAGTAACTTACATTGGGGTTTTTTTTGCGGTCACCAGCACATTTTGCCATCTGAACCTAGTTTTTACAGTTACTAATGTTAACTGGTTTCAGAGTAACAGCTGTATTAGTATGTATTCGCAAAAAGAAAAGGAGTACTTGTGGTTAACTGTTACTTTCACAGGTGCTTGCTTGCATTCCCCCTTGCCTATAAAGGTAAAGTCCACCAGAACTGAAACTTTGTACTTGACAAATACATTTGTAAAGACTTATCCTGAGACCTGCCTGTCCAGTCATGACTTACAAGTAAACCTGTTAAGTGGTATTTAATTTATTCCCAATGTATTCAGCATATACCATGCAGAAAGTGAGACACAAATTGGTTGTTTAAACAATGGGTCAGTTCTTTGATATTTGAGATAGTGAAGATTCATTCCAGTATATAAGCTGTTTTTTGTGTCCCACTTTTCCAATACTACTTCTGTACAAGTGAGAAGAGGGCAAATCTGTTTTTTTAAAAAAACCTACTTCATCTGAAAACAACTCAGGTAATAATGCATCCAGTGAAGTGAGCTGTAGCTCACGAAAGCTTATGCTCAAATAAATCTGTAAGGTGCCACAAATCCTCCTTTTTCTTTTTTTGGATACAGACTAACATGGCTGCTACTCTGAAACCTGTCACATAATAATGAATGTGTCTTTTTAGTACTTATGTCAGACCTTAAGCAACTGGATATGCAAAGGAGAATTTTCACTTTTTTTTTTAAAGGAAGTTAGTAGCCCTTTTCCTTGTGCAGGCAGGCTTGAAAATGCAAATGATCATGAAACCAATTGCTCAGGTTGAAAGAAACAAGCAGCTGGGTTCCACTTCTGCCCCAGGCACACAGGTGGTGAACTAAAAAGCCCAGGCCCTGCCGCATTAAGATGAATCAGTTCCAGTTGGAGTATACACCAAAATGGCAGTCGCTCCTGCATTTCTCAGGCTAGCCCTGTGTATAGTTGCGGGACTATGGTGCACGGAAACTGGCAAAAATGTTCCAAAAGACAATGACCCCCTTCCCCCCACCCCCAATTCAAAAATATCAGGGCTGGTTCTGCAAAGTAAGCCAGCCACGGGCCTGAAACGCCTGACAGGAATTGCTGCTTTCCCTCCCCAAACATGTCACTAGTAGCAGAGTTCCGTTATTACAGGTGAGATTTCGGAGTAGTAGCCGTGTCACTCTATTCGCAAAAAGAAAAGGAGGACTTGTGGCACCTTAGAGACTAACCCATTTATTTGAGCATAAGCTTTAGCTGTAGCTCACGAAAGCTTATGCTCAAATAAATGGGTTAGTCTCTAAGGTGCCACGAGTCCTCCTTTTCTTATTACAGGAGAGGGCACCCTACTAATGATCATGCTGCTGGACCCTGCCATTGGTGCCAGTGCTCTCCTCGAGCTGTCGGTAGGGAAGGAACTGGATGTTGTGTTAGGCAGAGCGTGTCTGAATAGCTGTGCCCGAACACCCAGGCTGTGCCCACAGTAAGAGAACTCAAACCAGCAATTCTTCACTGGTGCAGCTCCTTCTGGGGAAGCCAGTGATTACACGGACCCATGTCTGCAACCCCTGTGCAGGGGTTGCAGTCTCTATTCCAGTCCAGGGGGCTATGGAAAGGCCAGAGGGGAGCTGAAGGCTCCCCTGTCACCTGCAGATGGGCAGGGTGGGTGGATTTCAAACCCCCAACTCCCCGGCAGCAACTCTGTGCAAAGCCCACTTAGTCGGGCTTGGAGTAGGGTGGCTGTGGGGAAATTCACTTTCTAAGTGGAGTTTCACTATAACAGAATTAACCATAAACAGGCTTTACTGTGCTATTGACACTGGGCATCACAGCTCAGTGTAACTTCTATGTAAAAGTAACTAGCTCTGTACAAGTCTAGCAGAATTTCATCATATTATATATTCTTGATGCCTGTTTAAAACACAAACCACACTAGAATCTATAGATTATCATATGCCCTATATGGTAACATTCCCTATTGCTTTTTAACCTTGTTTTTAAAGGTTGGGGTGTGGCTATAATGCTCCAAGCAGCCCTGGAGATCAAAAGCCCTTTGCTTATCTACAGATCAGATTAAGCAGCTGCAGTGGCAACACTGGCTACCCACCTAATGCCCCTCAACAGGGGCATCCAAGTGTTTTACAGAGAGTTGTTAATAGTGGTGTCCCCATTTTAGAGAGAAAGAAACTGAGGCACAAAGGTGTTGAGGGCATCTGCGCTACAGTGTAAGCCCAGAGTTCGAACACAGCCTCAAGCCTAACTCCCCTGCCTTCCATCGTCTCACAAATTGCGCTAACTCAGGCCCTGGATCCAGGACCCCACAGAGACAGATGGCCCAAGCCTGAGAGGTGCACCTTATTAGCTTATGTTAGTAAAGTCTTGAGATTCAAATTTTCCTAATGGCCTTTCTTTTAAAATGGTATCTGTTATTTTATATATGTTATGTACTTTGCTGCACCAATCTCTGCTTGCGACTGTGCTGAACCAGCACTGTTAAGCCCTCAGCCGTGCACACGTACAAGAGGCATGGATTTTCTAGATCAGCAAATGTCTGGCCAATCTAAAATAACATCAAATATAAATATGAGTGGATGAGAAACTACAATGTGACCAAACAAGATACTAAGTCAGTATTAATAAATTCAGTGGGCATGTGGTAAGGGTATTACTTTCTTGTAAAATATCATGATTTTGAGCACTGTATATTGCTCTGCCAAAGTGTTTAGGAATAATTTTAAAAGGTGTTTGTTTTTATATATATATATTCTCTGATTTCCTCCCAGTGTTATCTTTACAAGGTCTCTGATCTCTTTTTGTGTGTGTTGCTTTTCACCGTTTAAGTTAGGTAAAGAAAACGTGACTCAGCTATTCTGGTTGCCTGATGAAACTGCATAAGCAATACACACAACTAGAAGAATGTCCTTAAAATTCTACATCTACTTACATACTTTACTGGCTTGGAATGTTACAGCAAGAACCATCAAATTATTGCTGTTTTCCAGGTGGGACTGTTAAGGGGCTGGAGCCCCTTCTCCCATGCTAAGAAAGCCCTAATTTATCCCATAGGCCCCAATTCTGTAAAGAGAACCATATGAGATTATCCCTGTGCACCTGTCTGGAGCTCCCATTGGAGTCAGTGGGAATGACTGTGCTAAATAAACTTGTAGTCAGTGGGGGGCTAGGCAGAAGCCGGGATCTACCTATGCAGCAATCTTTGAGGGATTGAGGCCTTAGTGGTCAATGCACAGTGTGGAAATAACCCTTACAGTTTCAAAACACTGCACAAGGGGTTTAGCCATATGATTTCCAGAGACTTTAATGGGGTTCCCCTGGCTAAAATGCCATCCAACAACTTGAGCATGGAGAGGAAGTTTGTCTCCTTATCTATCTGTCCCCTTGAATGAAAAAGTGAAATGAATGCATAATGTCCTGTTTTACACTCTTAGCCCTGGTCTACACTACGAATTTAGGTCGGATTTAGCAGCATTGGATCAGTTTAGCCCTGTACCTGTCCACACTACAAAGCCATTTTTCCGACTTTAAGGACTCTTAAAACCAGTTTCTATACTCCTCCCTGACGAGTGGATTAGCACTGAAATCGACCTTGCTGGGTCCAATTTGGGGTAGTGTGGATGCAATTTGATGGTATTGGCCTCCGGGAGCTATCCCAGAGTGCTCCATTGTGACCGCTCTGCACAGCACTCTCAACTCAGATGCACTGGCCAGGTAGACAGGAAAAGCCCCGCAAACTTTTGAATTTCATTTCCTGTTTGGCCAGCGTGGCAAGCTGATCAGCACAGGTACCATGCAGAGCTCATCAGCACAGGTGACCATGCAGTCCCAGAATCTCAAAAGAGCTCCAGCATGGACCAAACGGGAGATATTGGATCTGATCGCTGTATGGGGAGACCAATCCATGCTATCCATGCTCTGTTTGAAAAGACGAAATGCCAAAATATTTGAAAAAATCTTCAAGGGCATGAAGGACAAAGGCTATAACAGGGACCCGCAGCAGTGCCACGTGAAATTTAAGGAGCTCAGGCAAGCCTACCAAAGAACCAGAGAGGCAAACGGCCACTCCGGCTCAGAGCCCTGGACATGCCACTTCTATGATGAGCTGCATGCCATTCTAGGGGGTGTCCCTACAACTACCCCAGCCCTGTGCGTGGACTCCCTCAATGGACTCTCACGCAACGGGGATGCGGATTTTGGGGACAAAGAGGAGGAGGAGGAGGAGGTTGAAGCACAGCAAGTAAGCGGAGAAACCATTTTCCCCAACAGCCAGGAACTGTTTCTCACCCTGGATCTAGTACTCTCCCAACCCAACGAAGGGGGGCTCCCAGACCTAGAATGTGGAGAAGGGACCTCTGGTGAGTGTACCTTTTGTAAATATAATACACGTTTTAAAAGCAAGCGTGTTTAATGATTAATTTCCTCTGAAGACTTGGGATGCATTCGCGGCCAGTACAGCTACTGGAAAAGTCTGTTAAAGTGTATGGGAATGGAGTGAAAATCCTCCAGGGACATCTCAATGAAGCTCTCCTGGATATACTCCCAGAGCCTTTGCAAAAGGTTTCTGGGGAGGGCAGCCTTATTGCGTCCTCCATGGTAGGACACTTTACCATGGCAGGCCAGCAGCATGTAATCTGGAATCATTGCATAACAAAGCATGGCAGCGTATGGTCCCGGTGTTTGCTGGCATTCACAGAACAGCCGTTCTTTATCTCTCTGTGTTATCCTCAGGAGAGTGATATCATTCATGGTCACCTGGCTGAAATAGGGGAATTTTATTAAGGGGACATTCAGAGGTCGCTGTTCCTGCTGGGCTGTTTGCCTGTGGCTGAACAGAAATCATCCCCACTGTTAGCGACGTGGTGGGGGGACGGGTGAAGAGATCATCCCAGATAATTTTTTGTGTGTGGGGGGGGGTTGGGGGGTTAGTTTGGTTTGTGCTGCACATTAACTCGAAAACCACAGCCCCTCCTTTTAAATGGCCAACCCTCTTTAAAGGGCAAACCCAACGGGTTCTTGGTATGTGAAATGAGGGTGCTGCTGTTTAAAACCATTCCCACATGTTAGGAAGGTTAAAGAAGCCAATAGACTGTGGCTTACCATGTCTGCCTGCAAGCTGAATTCTGTTGCCCGCAGGCCCTGCATGTGTGATCTCTCACACCATACCGACAGGCCCGCCATATAAGAGGCAAAATGCGACCTTGTGAAGAATGCACACATGTAATGTTAACAGCTTGGTTCACCATGAAAGAATCTACCCATTGTTCTCTAAAATGTCTCTTTTTAAAGACTAATCTCCCTTTTTTCCCTCCCGCAGCTGCAAATGTTTCATCGCTCCATGTATCATTTCCATCCCAGAGGCTATCAAAGATTAGAAGCCAAAAAAAAAATGCACTCACAATGAAATGTTCTCTGGGCTTATGCAGGCCTCCCACGCTGAAAGAGACCAGCACAATGCGTTGAGGGAGACAATGTCAGAGTCCAGGAAAGCACAAAATGAACGCGAGGACAGGAGGGACGAGTGAGAGGAGAGGAGGGGCAAGCGCGAGGACAGGAGGGACGAACGAGAGGAGTGGTGGCGTCAGCATGATGAGAGGAGGCAGGATGCAATGCTGAGGCTCCTGTAGGATCAAACTGATATGCTCTGGCATATGGTTGAGGTGCAGGAAAGGCAGCATGAGCACAGAACGCAGCTGCAGCCCCTGTGTAACCAACTGCCCTTCTCCCCAAGTTCCATAGCCTCCTCACCCAGACGCCCAAGAACGCGGTGTGGGGGCACCCAACCACTCCACCCCAGAGGACTGCCCAAGCAACAGAAAGCTGGCATTCAATAAGTGTTGAAGCACAGTGAGGCCTTGTCCTTCCGTCCTCCCCTCCTCCACCACCCCACCCGGTGCTTCTCTCACCCCTCCCGAGCTACCTTGGCAGTTATTCCCCCATTTGTGTGACAAATTAATAAAGAATGCATTAATTTGAAACTGACTTTATTGCCTCTGCAAGCGGTGATCAAAGGGGGGAGGGGAGGGGAGGGGAGGGCGATTGGCTTACAGGGAAGTACAGTGAACCAAGGGGGCGGGTTTTCATCAAGAAACAAACAAACAACTTTCACACCGTAGCCTGGCCAGTCATGAAACTGTTTTTCAAAGCTTCTCTTATGCGCAGCACGCCCTGCTGTGCTCTTCTAACCACCCTGGTGTCTGGCTGCACGTAATCAGCAGCCAGGCGATTTGCCTCAACCTCCCATCCTGCCATAAATGTCTCCCCCTTACTCTCACAGATATTGTGGAGCACACAGCAAGCAGTAATAACGATGGGAATATTGGTTTTGCTGAGGTCTACCCGAGTCAGTAAACTGCGCCAGAGAGCTTTTAAACGTCCAAATGCACATTCTACCACCATTCTGCACTTGCTCAGCCTGTAGTTGAACAGCGCCTGACTACTGTCCAGGGTGCCTGTGTCTGGCTTCATAAGCCATGGCATTAAGGGGTAGGCTGGGTCCCCAAGGATAACTATAGGCATTTCAACATCCCCAATGGTTATTTTCTGGTCTGGAAAGTAAATCCCTTGCTGCAGCTGTTCCCACAGACCAGAGTTCCTGAAGATGCGAGTGTCACTGTACCTTTCCCAGCCATCCCACATTGATGTTGGTGAAACGTCCCTCGTGATCCACCAGTGCTTGCAGCACCATTGAAAAGTACCCCTTGAGGTTTATGTACTGGCTGCCTTGGTGGTCTGGTCCCAAGATAGGGATATGCGTTCCGTCTATTGCCCCACCACAGTTAGGGAATCCCATTGCAGCAAAGCCATCCACTATGACCTGCACATTTCCCAGAGTCACTACGCTTGATAGCAGCAGGTCAGTGATCGGGTTGGCTGATTGCATCACAGCAGCCCCCACGGTAGATTTGCCCATTCCAAATTGATTCCCGACTAACCGGTAGCTGTCTGGCGTTGCAAGCTTCCACAGGGCTATTGCCACTCGATTCTCAACTGTGAGGGCTGCTCTCATCTTGGTATTCTGGCACTTCAGGGCAGGGAAAAGCAAGTCACAAAGTTCTATGAAAGTGCCGTTACTCATACGAAAGTTTCGCAGACCATTGGGAATCGTCCCAGACCTGCAACACTATGTGGTCCCACCAGTCTGTGCTTGTTTCCCGGGCCCAGAATCAGCATTCCACAGCATGAGCCTGCCCCATTGCCACCAGGATGGCCAAATTGCCGAGGCCCGTACTTTGAGAGAAGTCTTTGTCCATGTCCTCATCACTCTCCTCACTGCGCTGCCGTCACCTACTCGCCTGCTTTTGGTTCTGGTTCTGCATATACTGCTGGATAATGCGTATGGTGTTTAGAGCAGTCACAACTGCTGCGGTGATCTGAGCAGGCTCCATGCTTGCCATGGTATGGCATGAGCAGGAGAGCAGAGTGGCAGCGGAAGCGACTGGTGGATGACGATGCTGACAGCAATATGGCGCTCGCATGGAAAAAGGCTCAAAACGATTGTCAGCCGTTGCTTTCGCGGAGGGAGGAGCAAGAGGTAGGCTGGCAGCAGACAGTGCTGCTGGCTGGGAGAGCAGCCTGAGGCAGAATGGCCCCCTCACAGATTGAATTCTCAACCCTGGGTTTAGCAGGCCAATGCTCAAACCACTGAGCTATTCCTCCTGCCAATATTCCAGGCAGGACTGAATCTCCATTAGACAAAACTTAAAGAAGAGAATGACCTGAGTCACACCCATTTATGTGCAGGCGCCCCGACAGACCTCACCGAGATCTGCCAGGAGCACCCATGTCTGCCCAGGCGCCCCGACCAAACTGAGCAAGGCCAGCCAAGAGCACCGAGGGGACAATGAGGATGGCTACTAGTCGTACTGCACAATCTGCTGCCACAAGGCAATGAGCTGCTGCTGTGTAGCAATGCAGTCCCACATCTGCCAGCACCCAGGGGACGTACGGTGAAGGTGACCTGAGCGGGCTCCATGCTTGCCATGGTAAGGCGTCTGCACGGGTAACCCAGGAAAAAAGGCACGAAACGATTGTCTGCTGTTGCTTTCATGGAGGGAGTGAGGGAGGGGGGCCTGACAACATGTATCCAGAACCGTCCACGACAATGTTTTTTTGCCCCATCAGGCATTGGGATCTCAACCCAGAATTCCAGTGGGCGGCGGAGACAGTGGGAACTGTGGGATAGCTACCCACAGTGCAACGCTCTGGAAGTTGACGCTAGCCTCGGTACTGTGGACGCACTCCGCTGACCTAATGGTCTTAATGGTTTTAAGTGGGGACACACACAATCGACTATATAAAATTGCTTTCTAAAAATTCGACTTCTATAAATTCAACCTAATTTCATAATATTAGACATACATACCCAGTGTATATGTGTGTGCGCACTTCACAAGAGACCTGTTTAGCACAGAACTTAGATTCCAAAAGTTCTGAATTGTACAGAGGTGGACGTTACCGTGGGTCAGGCAATCGCTGTTTCTATTCCCTCCCCCCATGACAAACTTTGTTTTTTCACTGAAAAACTAAACGTTTCAGGGTTTTTTGGGGGGTGAGGGAACCAAATATTTTAGTTGAAAGTGAAATTTCTCTCTCTCTCTCTCTCATACACTCACATACACTTTTGAAGAAACCTCTCGCTCACTCTCATTCATAGTTTGTTTGACAAAATCTCACCTTTTTCATCCCCAAAAATGTCAATCAGCTCTCATAGCTATCATGGTGCTCTGCTTGTCCCTTTGTAATTCAATTAAAGCATTTGGAAAGGAGCATGCAATTCATCTCATAGTCTCTGTTGTTATGGCAACATTTCCCTGGTTCTCAGAAAGAAACATGTTCAGCATTTAAATAATGTTAGTGGTGCTGAATTTTAGCAGGCTGCTATATTTTCAGTAGTAGTTGCATTCTTCTTTATCATTAACATCATTACTGTTTAATTATTTTTGGGCACCCACGAGTCTGTTAAGCTTTCTAATCAACATCTGGCTGGTTTTTTCCAATCAAGTTGACAATTTCCCATTTCAATCCCCAAAACACGTTGCATTCTTCTCTTAGCAAATATTGAAAATTGGACCCATACCACAAGAAGAAAATTCACAGCGGGAATCATCAGGTTTGTGTTTTACCAGCATCTCTCCAGCTTTCCAGGAGGGTGCGCTAGGACATGTCAGAGGTGAACATACAACAGTATTGGACTCATTGCAGATACAGCTATAACAGCTTGTAGTCCATGTGTCTCCTGAGTGGGGGTTAAAAACAGAAACAGACCTGACCCTTAGACACCTGGTCAGTTACAACTCGAGGAATTTTGTGCAATCCAGAAAATACCTGAATACTCTGATTTTTCTCTCCTATTGAGCTGTAGCAAACTGTTTAAAAATGAATGCATTGAAGTAATTGGCAAAACTCTGATTGACTTCAACAGGGTCACAATTTCATGTAGGAGTTTTGCCTGAAAAAAGACTGACATCAGTCACTCTGCCAATAACCGAGATCTACTCACCTATACCCAAAACTCTAACTACAGCCCAGTGTCTTCTCTTATTGCCTGTTTTCTTACTTGAATAAATCTTAGTCACATACAAAAGAAACTGTCCTCACACTAATATACCATGGTCCAGATTCTGCTGTCAGTCAAATGTCTGTATTGGCGCTGGACAGGTGTAACTAGAAGCAGAATCTGGCTCCGATGATTGTTTAATGTAGCATACATACCACAGGTTGCCATTCATCTGAATCGTTCTGCTTGGCTTCAGAACCTCATCATTTACGTAACAATCATGTTGATCATGCTCAATACTGATACCTTCACTATTTTAATTTTAATTCCACCAAGATTTCAACAACTTCCACCCTACCATCAACCTCAGACTGGACCAGTCCACACAAGAGGTCCACTTCCTAGACACTACAGTGCTAATAAGCGATGGTCACATAAACACCACCCTATACCGGAAACCTACTGACCGCTATACTTACCTACATGCCTCCAGCTTTCTCCCAGACCACATCCATTGTCTACAGCCAAGCTCTAAGATACAACCGCATTTGTTCCGATCCCTCACAGACAAACACCTACAGAATCTCTATCAAGCATTCTTAAAACTGCAATACCCACCTGGTGAAGTGAAGAAACAGGCTGACCGAGCCTGAAGGGTACCAAGAAGTCACCTACTTCAGGACAGGCCCAACAAAGAAAGCAACAGAACACCACTAGCCATCACCGACGGCCCCCAACTAAAACCTCTCCAGCGCATCATCAAGGATCTACAACCTATCCTGAAGGACAATCCCTCACTCTCACAGACCTTGGGAGATAAGCCAATCCTCGCTTACAGACAGCCGCTCAACCTGAAGCAAATACTCACCAGCATCTACACACCACACAACAAAAACACCAACCCAAGAACCAAACCCTGCTACAAACCTGGGTGCCAACTCTGTCCACATATCTATTCAAGGGACACCATCAAAGGACCTAACCACATCAGCAACACCATCAAGGGCTCATTCATCTGCACATCTACCAATGTGATATATGCCATCATGTGCCAGCAATGCCCCTCTACCATGTACATTGGGCAAACTGGACAGTCTCTATGTAAATGAATAAATGGACACAAATCAGACGTCAAGAATCATAACATTCAAAAACCAATAGAAGAACACCTCAATCTCTCTGGCCACTTAATAACAGACCTAAAAGTGGCAATTCTTCAACAAAAAAACTTCAAAAAGACACCAACTTGAAGCTGCAAAACTGGAATTAATTTGCAAACTGGATGCATCAGATTAGGCCTGAATAGAGACTGGGAGTGGTTGGGTCATTACAAAACCTAAACTTAATTTCCCCAATACTAATTTCTCCCTACTGTTACTCACACCTTCTTGTCAACTGTCTGTAATGGGCCACTCTCTTACCACTTTAAAAGTTATTTTTCCTCTCTTGGTATCCTCCTGTTAATTGATTTATCTTGTTAGAC